CAGAATGGTACCATATTTGGTATTGGGTAAGGAATGGAGATAAAATTCTGAAATTTGATATTAAGATTACTGATGGTATCTGGGATTGAGATATGGAGATGGTTTTAGAAATGTGTAATATAATTGTTCGAAAAGTACTAAATGGTACGAAATTTTGTATTGGTTTAGGGAATAGAGTTCAAAACCTGAAATTTGATATAGATGTCACTGTTGGCGTCTGTGGTTAAAATATGGCGGTGGTTTTGGAAATGTGTAATAAAATTGTTAAAAAAAATAAAAAGTACTAAATGGTACTAAATTTGGTACTGTGTGAAGGAATAGGAGAGGAATCCTCAAATTTAATATTGAGGTCTGTCTCGGCATCTGGGATTAAGATGTGGAGGAGGTTTTGGAAATATGTACTATAATTGTGCGAAAAATACAAAATCGTACTATAGATGGTATTGAGTGAACAGATAGTGCTTGAAATCTGTACCTGTGCCTATGTGTAGCATTGACATATAGAGGTGGTGAATGGTACTACATTTGGTACTGTGTGAAGGAATAGGACAGGAATCTTCAAATGTGATATTGTGGTCTGTCTTGGGATGTGGGATTAAGATGAGGAGGTGGTTTTGGAAATGTGTACTATAATTGAGCGAAAAACACTAAATCGTACTATAGATGGCATTGAGTGCTTGAAATCTGGTATTCATGTGTAGCTTGAACATATGGAGGCAGGCGGTTGCGGAAATGTGTTCTATAATTGTACGGAATGTACTGGATGGGATATAAAATTCTGAAATTTTATATTAAATTTTCTAACCGTATCTGTGTTTGAGATTTGGCGACGTTTTAAAAATGAGTCCTATATTTGTACGAAAAGTACAAAATCGTATTAAATTTTGTATTATGTGAAGAGATAGAGCTGGAACCCCGAAATTTGAAATGGAATTTGACCTTGACACAGCACTAAATACCTTCTGGTACCTTTTCCACCCTTTTTGGGTCAAATTTCCAAAAAATTAGTCTATCGATCTTAGCCAACGTTCCAAATTCAAAGATTATACCTTTACCCATGCGCTGAATACCTTCATAATGTATTAGTACTGTTTAGTACATTTTAGTACCCTTTAAGTTCTAGTTTTCCAAAATTCAATACATCTTAACCTGATTATGAACCACATTTCATATTTGAGTATTCTAGCTTAAACCGCTTGTTAAGTATCATAATAAATAATTGAGTACCTTTTCTAGTACCAATTTGTGTTCAAAGTTTCAAAAAAAAAAAAAAAAAAAAACCCCGGCCTTATTTCACCATTGAGGCTGAACAATAATTCGGATTTCAAAATTTCAGAAGTTTAACTTGATTCGTTTGCCAAATACGATGACACAGTCTTAAGTACCTTTTAGTACTTTTTGGTCCCTTTGGACCAAATTACCCAAAATGAGTCCTAATCTTACCCCTATATACCATCCTACTGAAATTTTCACAATTCTGTTTTGATCCGATCACAAGAGATTATGGTCTAGCAGTTAGTACCTTATTGGTATTTTTTGTACTTTTTTATTTGGGATTTCCAAAAATTCGTCCCGATGGTGACCTACATTCCAAGTTTGAGAATCCCAGCTTTACTTGGGCGCTTAATACCATGATACATAATTTAGTACGTTTTTGTAAATTTTGTAACATTTTTGATGAAAGTTTCCCAAACTCTGCCCCATTACACTTCCTCACCTTAACAATGACTCGGATTCAAAATTTCTGAATTCTAATTTGATCCGCTCGGTAAAATTATTGACATCACCTTAATTACCTTTTCATACTTTCCGTACCCTGTGGAATACCTTCCCAAAAATGAGGCAATGTCTCACCTCAATATTTTATCCAGGAGCAAATTCCATTATTCTGCCTTCATCCGCTTACTAGAGATCATGGTGCAGCATTAAGTACTTTTTCGTAGGCCATAATTGAAAATTTTCAAAAACAAAAATTTGCAATATCTCCCCCTACACAACGTATTTAGTACCTTTTCGTACTTTTTGTAATCTTTAACTTTTTTATTCGTTTTTTTTTTTCGCTTCTACTTTAAATGTTTAAAAAAAATTAGAATACCATTAGTACGATTTAATACAACAAATAATTAATTTTTTGTACATTTTAGTTGAAATATTAAAGAGAACTGCCGCATCTAACTAGTCTACATTATTACTTCTCCTCTACCTCTTCCAAATTTCAAATTTCAGCGTAAAATACCAACGTAGGTAATTTGGTACCATCTAGTACTTGTTGTAAATTTTAGTTAGAATTTTCGCGGAACCGAACAATCTTACCCCTACAAACCGATTATGAAGCACCTTTCAATTTGATAATTCTGGCTTTATTTGGGCGCTAACTACCATGGTACATAATTCAGTACCGTTTTGTGCACGTTTCACTCAGTTTCCAGAATTCTAATTAAAATCATATTTTCGAAATCATGATACAGATTTTATTACATTTTCGTACTTTTTTATAACCTTTGGACCAAATTATCAAAAGATGAGGCATCAATATTCCATTCCAGACCGAAATTCATTATTCTGACTTTATTCACTCACTAGAGATCATGAAACCATATTTAGTACTTTTTCGTACTTTTAAGTACAGTTCGCAGTATTCAGTAACTTTTCGTACTTTTTGTAGTCCTTAACTGGGATTTGACCAAAAAATCTTAACCCTACGGATCACCCATAATAACCCACATTCCTAATTAAAGAATCCAGGCTCTAATCGTTCGCTAACTGTCATTGTGTAATTTAGTGCCTTTTCGTACGTTTCGTAACATTTTGTTTCAAGCTTTTTCATACTTAGTATAAGGTCACTTCCTCGCGTTAAAATAGACTTAGATTTCAAATTCGAATCTGAATGATTCTTTCAATATGATGATACAGATTTTGGTACCTTTTAGTACGTTTTTATAACCTTTGGACAAAATTACCAAAAATGTGCCATCAATATACCATCCCAGAGCAAAATTCATAATTCTGACTCTATTTGCACACTAGGGATCAAGGACCAATAGTTGGTACCATTTTGTTCTCCTTAATTTGGTATTTCTAAAAATTCGACACATCGTACCCCCACATTAAGATCATGACCCACATTCCAAATTTGAGAATTTCAGCTTTACCCCTATTGCTGACTACAATGATATAACACTTAGTACCTTTTCGTACGTTTCGTAACATTTTAGCTCGAATTTACTGTGCATTATAGATTTTAGTACCTTTATGTACTTTTTGTACACTTTGGGCCAAATTTCCAAAAATGGCATACCATCATCAACACATTCGGGATCAAATTAAAAATTCCATCATATAATTTTTCTTTCGTTCACATAGAATTTTCGTACCTTTTCCTACTTTTAGTACCCATATTTTGTTGTTCCCGAACATTTGCTTATTCCACCTATAAACGACAACTTAACTATGTAAATGAAAATAAAATGATCCATTGCCACCAAACCCCCGCCCCTAGTGTACTCCACCGGCAACAATGAAAAAACTAGTAAAGAAAATCTTAAAGTCGGGCGGGGCCGACTTTCTGATACCCTACACCACTTTGCTAATTTAGTAGAGGTCCACTTAACAATTGAAAGCCCTATCATACACGCTATGATTATAATTATAATTTAAAGTTCAAAGGACAAATTTGCGAAGCATTTGTATTTTTTAAATTCGGATATGTGTTGCCCATTTGATATATATGGGAGTTATCTCCAAATCTGAATCGATTTTGATGAAATTTGCCAAAGATATGTCTAAGCTGTATTTCATATATTTCCCTGAATATCGTTGTTACGGAGTGCATATTACGGCTGTGGGTAACAAATATAAAAAATCGGATGAACAATGGATATGGGAGCTATGGCTATATCTGAATCGATCTTTACCAAATTTGACATAATAGCTTCCAAACTCAATTTGGTCGCAAGTGCCAAATTTCATCCCATTTGGACAAATATTAGACGTTTGGTGCACAATAAAAGATAAATCGGACGAAGATATATATGGGAGCTATATCCAAATCTGAACCGATCTCGATAAAATTTAGCAAAGGTATTTCTGAGCTGTATTTAATAAATTTCCCCAAATATTGTTGTTACCGAGTGCATATTACGGCTGCGAAGGACTAAAATAACAAATCGGATGAACAATATATATTGGAGCTATAGCTATATCTGAACCGATTTCGATCAAATTTGGCATACTTATTTTGAGGCCTAATTTGGTTGTATGTGCAAAATTCCATACTATTCGGGCTGATATTACACGTTTGGTGCACAATAAAACTCAAATCGGACGAAGATATATATGGGAGCTATATTCAAATCTGGACCGATCTTGATCTGAGCTGTATTTCATATATTTCCCCAAATATTGTTGTTACAGAGTGCCTATTATGGCTGCGAAGGACTAAAATAACAGATCGAATAAACAATATATATTGGAGCTATAGCTATATCTGAACCGACTTCGATCAAATTTGCCATACTTATTTTCAGATCTAATTTGGTTGTATGTGCAAAATTCCATTCTATTCGGGCTGATATTACACGTTTGGTGCACAATAAAACGCAAATCGGACGAAGATATATATGGGAGCTATATATAAATTTTAACCGATTATCTCCAATTTCAATATGGTTCGTCGTTGGGCCAAACAAATGATCTGTGAAAAATTTCATCTGGATAGGACAATAAATGCGAACTGTACTTTGGTTACACGGACGGACATGCATAAATCGACTCAGAATGTGATTCTATGCAGATCATCAAAAGGAACTATGGGTCCATCTCGTTTCCTTTTGCCTGTAACAAACAAATGCACAAAGACACAATACTCTGACCACCTTGTGGTATACCCTACACTAAAAGAAAAGAAAACCCTGATTGCAGACCATTTACATTGGCATGACGTATGGCATTGGTTGTTAACTTGGTTAGCCACCTGGTTAATTGCATTGTTTCTGACTTACGTGTGGTGTCATAATGGACTCCTTTGAATTCCTCAAAGCAGGGCAGTATGGCCCAAGATCCAGATGGTGTTTGTGGCCAACACAGTACGGAATCAAATGAGACAGGGCAGGATAACGAGTCGTTGCTGTTGGGTAGAGCGGTTTTTAGCTGTAATGAAAAGGAGAGGAAGGGAGAGAGAAGTGAGAAAATTGATCAAAATTACAAATTAAAAAAAAAATTTTCATATAAAGAAAAAATAAAAATAAAAACACAGAAAACAATCAGGACCACCTTGCAGGAAGCCTTCAGAAGAAGTTCATATTTTACAAATTCTTAAGGCGGCAGGAATGGCGTTTGCCATAGACACGCTGGCGCCCATGACACGGTTGATGAAATATGAGGCTGCCAATGTTAATGCTGATGATGACGATGCAATGAAAATATGTTTGACTTATGGACTTCTTCGCCTGGTTACGCTGGCTTGACTTCAAATGGAAGCAACCACGCACACACACACCCACATGCAATCAGTGAAAATTTTCCAGCAAAAGTTAATCGTTGACTCGATGGCTTAAATGGAAATATATCGATGAACCTTAAACAATTTCGCAGGTGATTTAGTTCTTTGTAAGGGTTTTCAGGCTTTGTTAACAGAATATTATTTTAAGGACCATCCGGTAGATGAAAAACAAGTTAAAAAAAATATCAGTCGGTTCTGCCCTCAGGCAATGTTCGATTATTTAAATATATTTTCACTTCTGTAATGAATTTTCAAACTCTTGATCCTTTATGGAGTGGGTTTTGAAGGAATGGGCCAATATTGTCTATTTCGTATCGGACCTAACTAAATATGATGTAAATATTGCGACGGGCCAGGTGGGGTCTATGTTGCTAACTTCATCATAAAACCCATATTCATCTCAGATTTCTGGTTAAGATATATCTTTGGACATAGCAAGTTGTAAAGAATCGCTGACTGGTTAAGACAGTTAAGACAGATAAAAGTATTGAACATGTAAAAAAGCTGTAAGTTCGGCCGGGCCGAACTTTTAATACCCTCCACCATTTGGTACAAATTTGGCAATTTCCAAAAAATAAAACCCGTTAAAAATTCTGCCAAAATCTTAAAAATACCGAATGCTTATACGACGACGTGGGCCTGCATAGGCAACTTTTGTCATAAATTATTACAATATTTGCGAAACTTGAAGAAAAATCTGTTTATAATGTAGCTAAAATCGTCAAAATACCGAATATGGGGGGTACCGTTATATGGGGGCTATACGAAGACGTGGACCTGCACAGACAATTTTCTGGCATGGGCTGAAGTATCCATTACGAACTTCACATACGAAATTTGAAACGATTCCGGTAAACAATGTCGCTAAAATCATCAAAAAACCGAATATCGGGGGGTACCGTTATATGGGGGCTACAGAAAGACGTGGACCTGCACATATAATTTTCTGTCTTAGGCTGTAGCATCCATTACAAACTTGAAATGCCAAATTTGAAATAATTCCGGTGAATAATGTCGCTAAAATCATCAAAATACCGAATATCGGGAGGTACCGTTATGTGGGGGCTATATGATAACTTGGACCTACATGGCCCATTTACGAACTTAACCTGCCTACTGGGAAAAAATACATGTGTGCAAAATTTTAGCCTTCTATCTCAATTTGTTCGAAAGATAGCGTGATTACAACAGACAGACAGACAGACGGACAGACAGACACACAGACAGACAGACGGACATGGCTAAATCGTCTTAGAATTTTACGCTGATCAAGAATATATATACTTTGTTGGGTCTGACATGAATATTTCGAGGAGTTACAAGCGGAATGACAAAATTAATATACCCTCCATAGTATGGTGGAGGGTATAAAAATGTGACCCTTTGTGGTTGAAGTACCAGATGTTGTTCGCAGCTATATATCATCTTCACGACAGATCTTGTGTTAGCGAAAATGTTCGTATGTGTGAAATTTGAAGAGAGCTATAAGCCAAATAAGCATTTTTGGCTTACTTTGAGCGTTTGATTTCTAAAAACCCTTAAACCCCATGTGGTGGAGGGACCTGAAGAAATAGTCCCATATGTGTATGATATGTACCATCTTTATAACAGATCTTGTGTTGATGGAAATATTGAGGTGTGCCAAGTCTGAATGGAAAATATTCAAAATTTTGAGCTTTTGTGAGGCAGGTACCACAAGGAGAGGACCGATATATCCCATCTTCACAATATACCTTGTATTAGTAGAAATAATGGAATGTGTGAAATATAAAGAGAAACTGATGCTAATTTCGGATTTTATAAACGTTTTGGTTATTCAAAACTTTGGCTATTTGTGGGGGAGGTACCAGAAGGAATGGTTCAATCTCTACCGCCTTTATGACAGATCCTGTGTTGATAGAAGTATTCAGATATTCCAAGTCGAAATAGAATCGGATTTTTATTTCGCGTCTTATGAGCTTCATGGATATTTAAAATCACGACCTTTTGTAGCAGAGAGATCACCAGATCTTGAGTTTATAAAAATATAGGGATCTATGAAATTTTAAGACAATCGGATTCTTACATCACATTTTAAAATATTCAAAATTATTCAAAATATTTACCCCTTGTGGGGAGGCACTTGATGGAGTGGACCGATATTATCAATTTTTGCACCTGACCTGAAACTGACGCAAATATAAGGATTTGTCAAGTTGGAGAAAATTCGGATTATTGCTTATCTTTCTGTGCAGAAAAAAAATATATATTTTTTGAAAATTTTGTCCTTTTGTGGGGAGGTACCAAAAGAAGTGGACCAATTTATTCCAGTTTGGTACCAGACTTTGGGTTAAAAAAATTATTGGGCCGTTTGAAATTTGAAGACAATCGGCTCTTACATCACATTTTTTTTAAACTTGTATTTGTTCAAAAATGTTTACCCTATGTGGGGTAGGTACTAGATAGAGTGGACCGATATTGACCATTTTCGCACCTGACCTAGCACTGACGTAAATATTTGGATTTGCAAAATTAGAGCACAGTTAGATTATTGCTTCCCTTTCTGTGCAGGATTTTTTTTTGTGCAAATTTCGACCATTTGTGGGGGAGGTACCGGAAGGAGTGGACCGATCTAGGGAGATCTAGGGTTAACAAATTTATTGAGATTTGTGAAATTTTAAGACAATTGGATCCTAACATCACATTTTATACTAGTTATAATTATTCAAAATTTTGACCCTTTGTGGGGGAGGCACTTGATGGAGTCGACCGATATTGTCAATTTTCGCATCTGACCTAGCACTGACGCAAATATTAGGATTTGCAAAATTAGAGCAAAATTAGATTATTGCTTTTCTGCCTGTGCAGAAAATATATTTTTTGAAAATTCCGAACTTTTGTGGGGGAGGCACTAGAAGAAGGGACCGATGTATTCCATCTTAACACCAGACCTTGGGTTAATAAAAATATTGGGATGTGTGAAATTTGAAGACAATCGGACTCATACATCACATTTTATGAGAGTTGCAAATATTCAAAATGTTGACCCTTTGTGGTGGTAGTACTTGATAGAGTGGATCGATATTGTCTATTTTCACACCTGACCTGGCACTGACGCAAATATTCAGATTTGCAAAGTTGGAGCAAACTCGGATTATCGTTTGTCTTTCTGTGCAGAAAATATAATTTTGAAAATTGTCATCTTTTGTGGGGGAGGTACCAGAAGGAATGTACCGATATTGTCCATCTCCAAACTCGATCTAAGTTTGACAAAAATATTACGATCTTCCAAGTTTGGACCAAATCGAATACTATCTTCGAGAGTTATTGTATCCACTAGCAAGACAGACGGACGGACATAGCTAGATCGACTCCAAATGTCCTGAAACGGATTCGTTCCAAGGAGACCCTGGTGTTTAAAACCGTTATTTCGACTAGACACGTTTTGACCATATCAAATGATATATACCCTCTTTAGCCATATGGTTGAAGGCATAAAAATTTGGTTCCTCAAAATATGTTGTTAAAAATTCCACATTAGGAGGTCTGATGTTTCTTCAAATTCCGCGAAAAAAAAAAAAAAAAAAAACTATCAAATGAACACATCCTCATCCATTCCTCAACGTGTTAATTTGCCCTACTTCTGTTTTGCTACATAAATGAACATTTTATTTTAATGTAAATTTGCTAGGTTCTTTAACCATTAAAAACATATTTTTAATAGCTTTTAATGCCATACACAGAAGCCGCGCACACGGACACGGACACACACTCACACCCTCACCGCATACTATGGCAAATAATATAAAGTTGATGTTGTTTCCTTTATTGAAGCCCCATCAAAAAGAGGGAAAACCATTAAAATTATGCCATATTTTTCTGAGACGATTATTACAAAAGGGTACGGCAGCCAGAAGATGAATCAGGCGGGAGAAAAAGGCATGAAAAGGGATTTTCCACAAAACCAAAGGACGATGGAAAATCCTCAAAAGTAAACGTTAAAAAGGCGACATTAAAGTGTTGTCGTAAAGACGAAAGACAATCCACGCTTTATTACACGCTCGAATGGCCCGGATGTGCTGTCCTGTTGCTGCTGCGTGTCTATGTGGCTGTGGATGAAAGAAAAAGCCAAACCAAAGTGCCAAAGGATAATGTCATCAGCGTAAATGTAGTGTGTTTGTGTGTGTGTGTGGGGGGATGTGAGAGAAAGGAAGTATGTCAGTCTCAAATGCCGGCTGTCTGCCCAAAAGACAGCCAGAGGAATACAATAGCCTGAGACAGCAAAAGTAACCTGATTACATGCATAAGTCGCCATCGATGTTCTCCTGTGGCACAGTGGGGGGAAATTATTAACTATTTTTTTTTTTTTTAACAGAAAAAATATTTATTTTGAAGGTTGAAGCCAGAATCTTAAAATTTCGCTAAAGGGCCAATATTGGTGTTGTGGAAGGGGTTTTGGAGACTTGTACTAAAAAGTTACGAAAGTACTACAATGTACTAAAAATTGAATACTTTCTATTGGACAAAAATGGAATGAGCTAGAATTCTGAAATATGGGGTATGAGTCACTGCTGGCTGGAGTGTAGGAAATTTCGTACGTTAAATTTACGAAAAGTTCTAAAATGGTACTTAACCTCTAAAACGGTACCATTTGGTATTATGTGATCGCTTTGAGTTATACATTTGGAATTTTCTAAAAGAATCAAGGTTGGAAAATAAGTTTAATATATGTTAAGGTGGCTCTAGAAATGGGTACTAAGTGTGTGCAACCGTACTAAATGGTACTAAATTTGTTACACTTTGGTGAAGTGTGAACGGATGAAGCTGCAATTTTGAATTGGGTCCCTATCGGTGGTACTGGATTTGTGCTAAAGAGGTGATTTTGGAAATGTGTACTACAAGTGCACGAAAAGTACTAAATAGTACTGTATTTGGTACAATTGAATGCTTGGAATCTTAAATTTTGTTTTAGAGTCGCTGTTCATATGTGGCCTGGACATAGGGAGATGTTTTTGGAAACGTGTACCATAGTTGTACGAAAAGTACAAAATGGTACTATATTTGGTTATCCTCAAATTTGATATTGAGGTCTCTGCTGATATCTGGAATTGGGATATGGAGGTGGTTCTAATAATGTCATTTGATATTTGGATTATTAATGGTATCAGTGTTTGATAATTGGCAAAATTCGTCTCATATTTTGTACGGAAAGTACTAAATGGTACTAAAATTGGTATTGGGTTAAGGGATATAGCTAAAAATCCTCAAATTTGATATTGAGGTATCTGGAATGGAGATATGGACGTGGTTATTGTAATATGTACTACAAGTGCATGAAAAGTACTAAATAGTACAATATTTGGTACAATTTGGTGCTTGATATGTGAAATTTGGTTTTAGAGTAGCCTGGCTAAGCAAGCCTAGACTTATGAAGGTGGTTTTGGAAATGTGTACTACAAGTTCATGAAGAGCACTACAAAGTACTAAATTTGGTGCAAGGTGAAGAGATAGAGCAAAAATCCACAAATTTGATACAGATGTCACTGTTGATATTTGTGGTTAATATATGGAGGTGCTTTGAAAATTTGTACTATAATTATACGAAAAGTACCGAATGGTATTGGGAAAGGGGATAGAGATAGAACTCTGAAATGTTTAGATTATTGATGGTATTTGTGCTTCAGATTTGGCATTTGGTTGGAAATTCATCCCATAATTGTACTAAACGCACTAAATGGTACAAAATTTTCTATTGGATGAAGAAGTATAGCTGAAATCCTAAAATTTGATAAAAGTGTCACCGTTGGTGTCCGTGGTTAAGATATGAAGGTGATTTCGGAAATGTGTACTGTAATTGTACCAAAAATACTGAAAGGTACCATATTTGGTATGGGGTCAAGGGATATAAAATTCTTCAATTTGATATTGAGAATACCAACTGTAACTGTATTTGAAATTTACCAGTGGTTTGGGAATTCGTCCCATATTTGTACGAAAAGTACTAAGCGGTACTAAACTGGGTGAAGAAATAGAGCTAAAATCCTGTAATTTGAGATCGAGGCCCCTGTTGGTATCTGGAATTGAGATATGGAGATGGTTTTAGAAATGTGTACTATAAATGTACGAAAAGCACTATATAGTACTAAGTGGTACTTAAATGTGTAATGGGTTAACTGATAGTGCTTGAAATCTGAAAATGTTGTATTAGAGTCGCTTTTCAGGTACAGTCTGAATATATGGAGGTAGTTTTGAAAATGTGTGCTATAATTGTACGAGATGTACTAAATGGTACTATATTTGGTATTGGGTGAAGGAATAAGGCAAAATTTGTTAAAGATGTCACTCTTGGTGTCTGTGGTTGTAAGAAAGAGCATGTTTTAAATATCTGTTCGATAATTGCACGAAATGGTACTAAATTTGCTAATGGAGGAAATAAAAATTAAAAAAAAAATAGAATTTTATTTGAGGTACAATGTAAATAGAGATTTCTTTTCGTACATAACTTATAACAAAATTCGATGAAGAATATTTTTGTCTTTGATGACATCCTACTAAACTTATGCTTTTTGGGAGTATATAGCTTAAAATCTCACATAAGGTATGGCATTAACCCTAAAATGAGTTTTCTGGCAATAAGTTAGGATTTAGACTGTTTTCGTCTTCTAGAGCCTTTAGTAGAATTTTATGAAAAATAATTTTGTAGAATATTATATTATTGACTTGCTGCGACGCCGTTAAAAGGAAGTTTATAGCCATGCTTTAAAAAACGAACCAAAAAAACTCCTTTAATGACTCGCTGGAGGGTTAAAATCTTCCATCAGCATATTTTTCGCATTTTTTTCGGCAATATTGCCGAAGACTAGTATCTTCCTAAAATGCACGGAAATTTTCCAAAAGTGTGGAATAGGAGGAAACTAATCCACCTCCCCCCCCCCCCCCCTCTATTTTAGTTACCTTGCCCCGATGACTTTCAAAACGCCGATACCTGTCTTCTATTTTACGCTAGATTCAAAACGAATTAAGATAGGAAGTTAACATTTTGCACATATCAGTTTTTTGTGTGCAGGCAGGTCAAGTTCGAAGATCGGCTATATCAGTCCACGATATCGTACCCTCCAATTTTCAGTATTTTGATGAATTTAGAGACATTTTTTATCGGAATTGTTTTAATTTCGTACTTAAAATCCGTAAAGGATACTACAGCCTATAGTATGAAGGTTGACGTCTTCCTATAACCCCAATATAACGATGCCTCCCCATATTCGGCATTTTGATGATTTTAAGGGCAAGATTTTCACAGGAATTGTTCCAAATATCGTATGTAATGGTCGTAATGGGTACTACAACCTATGGCGGAAAATAAGACACCGTATATAAGTCCACGGAATCGTATATTCCCCATATAACGTTACCCCCTTCCCTATTTGCGGAATTCTGATGTTTTTAGCCGCATTTTTCAATGGAATTGTCTGAAAATCCACACAAGGAGTTCCTTCTGAGTAATTTGCGCTCTGAAAGAGAGGGTAACCCCCGATATTTCCTATTTGTATGATTTTAGCGAAATTTTTTTTTGTATCGGAATTGTTTTGAAATTCATATTCAAATTTCGTAATGGGTACTACAGCCTACGACATAAAATTTTTTATGCAGGTCCACGTCTTCGTATAGCCCCATTAGACGGGGTTCCTTTGAACGATATTTTTCGAAAGATTTTTTTTTTTAATTTTTTAAGTTCCCCTAAAAATGGTGGAGGGTATTAAAAGTTCGGCCGGGCCAAACTTAGTTGCTTTTTGACTTGTTATCTCTACCTTCATAATCTGTTGGATTTTCCCCGTAATTATTGAAAAAAAAAAAAGAATTTTGTCGACAACGTTAAAATTTAATTGGTGACCCACCCTTTGAGGGCCACTGTCTCTGTTTAATAAATCAAAATGACACACAAAATGCCACCCCGACATTTGGCAACAATGAAACCCCCAGTCCAGTGCCATGGCATCTCTGTTGTTCCATTACTTACCCGTTCGGCCTGTTGCAGGCATTGCATCTCCAGTGTTCGATTAACATACGACGATGACGATGACGACGACAATGTATCACCGCTCACAATGGCCAAGGCAGCTGCTGTCTCAATATCCTCCAAACGCAACAGATCCCCATCTCCGGTGATATGTCCTGTGCTCGCTGTCGAGGTGGCTGTGGCTGCCAACAAGGCATTGGCCTGTTGCAGCATGTCCGTTGAAAAATTGGCAAAAATGTCGGCCAAATCTATGGCCGAGTCGCCCGATAAACTGTCTACCAGGGCATCCAGATCCGTTGTATCCATAATTTTTGTGCAATAATGATGGGACTACGGCAATCAACTATCAGTTGAGATACGAGATGAAGGAAATGCCTGAGTGGTGGTTGTGGGTTTGTTTGGTGTGGGTGCTTATGGTCATTCAATGTTGATGGTTTGCCTTTTGATGGTCCAATGCAAAAGGTGTCCGTGGTTGTCGCGAACAGATGTTTGTTCGCTAAGTTGTTGGGCCAGAGTTGGCTATGTTAGGGTTGTGACGTTTGTTGCCCGCAAGCGGGGAGGTGGGTAGACTGGTTGGCTGTTAGTATTGACTTCGTTTTAGAATTCTCTCCGTTGCCGTTTGCCAATCTAAAATTAAATTAAAAAAAAAAAAAACGTAACGAATATTATCAATGCAAAACAATGTCGGCAATACTTTTTTGTTGTTGTCATTGTTGTTGTGGAAGGACAAAATTGGAATAATAAATGTAAATGGATACACAGAGGGATATAATGGACACAAAAATGGAATGCAACACAGAACGGGACAGGGGTATATTGCTCAATATCAATGCAATCACTGCCCACAGGCTTTTAAGCTTTGGATTTGATGCAGTTGCTATCAAATTCGATTGAGTTTTATTGGGGCAATACGGAAAAACTAGGTTTGAATGTTTATACCCTACAACACTATGTGTTGGGGGTATTATAAGTTTGATTGGGCCAAAAATTATGTAACACCACGAAATATTGGTTTCCCACATGGGAAAGTATATATGGATCTTCCTATCTCGCCGAGCTAAGTCGATCTAGCTATGTATGTCCGTCCGTCCGTCTGACAGGTCGCAATTATTGCCCGATCTTCACGAAATTAAGAATGGAGGTGGGGATAGTGCCAGAATAGAACCCTATTTCTTTTGGAGATGATCGCATAATATCTAGGGGTTGAAATGGACCAAAAACTGAAAAATTTCCTGATTTTGCAGCTGCTCTACAGGTCGCAATTATAGACCAATCGAAGCGGAAGTTAGCATAGGGCTAGAGCTTAGGGCTGGGCAGAAGCCTTCCAATTTTGATAGTCATCGGATAATAGTTAGTGGGTGAAATAGGCCACAACATTTGTGTTAAAGTCAAATTTTCCATTAAACCGCGAATATTTTTAATCCCGGCGAAATCACAAATAGACGAACGGGTCAATTCTGACCGTTACGTAGATGTCGATAGTAAATATATCGGTTATATATAGCGAAATATATACAATGTGTATGTACAAAGGAAGGGGATATTAGTTAGAATGCTTAAAAGAATGGCTGGACCGATTTTGACAAATTTTGTCAATTCAGTATGCCCTCTTGTCACAAAAGCATAAAATCTCAAAAAATTGCAGAAAAATATGCCAGTAATGATGTTAATATAGATTTTGTAGTATTTTGTGATATTTTTTTTATTTTTTTCATATTTTTTATCGCATGCGATTTTTTTAATTTGACTTATAATATTTTTTAATATTTTTTCACCTTACAACACAGGTTGGATTTATTATATAAGGATTGCAAATATCGTCTGATCCTCACGAAAAACAAGGGTAGGGTTGGGCTCGGAAGGGCTAGGCCTATTGTTTTCAAAGATGTCCGGGGTTGAAATGGACCAACAACTAAAAATTTTCCTGATTTTGCAGCCGTTGTAAAGGTCACAAATAGAAACCAGAGGACACGAAATCTCGCATAAAGTTAGAGTTTAGGACAGCGGGTACAATGGACCACTAATTTTGTTTGAAAAAAATACCAACATTACTTACAGATGATATCTGAAATACACAAAAGGCTGGCTTTTTATGCTGATTTCGTTGATGAATATTGCCAAATATCGAAAATAATAAAATCATATATGTGAGTCTAAATTTGGAGATACGGAGGGGCTTCTTGCTTTTGGAGATGATTGCAAAATATTTCGAGGTTCAAATTACATTCCATTTTCATAGCAGATCTTGTGTTACTAGAACTAATGGGATGTATGAAATATGAAGAGAACCGGATGCTTATTTCGGATTTTATAATCGTTTTGGTTATTCAAAATGTTGACCCGTCGTGGGAGAGGTACCAGAAGTAAAGGTCCGATCTCTACTATGATTATAACAAACCTTGTGGGGATAGAAATATTGGTCTGAATGAAATCAGATGTCAATTTCACGTTTTAAGAGCTTCATGGATATTGAAATTTTTGACCCTCTAGGGGGGAGATACTAGAAGGAATAATATTCCATCTTCAGAACAGACCTTGGGTTAATAAAATGTTGTATTGTGTGTAATTTGAAGATAACCGGGCCCTTACATCACATTTAATAAGAGTTATACTTATACAAAATGTTGACCCTTTGTGGGGGAGGTCCCAGAAGGAATGGTTCGATCTCTATTATCTTTATAACATGAGCTTCATGGATACCCAGAATGTTGACCCTTAGGTGGGGAAGGTACCAGAAGGAGTTTCGAGAGTTATCGTGTGCACCAGCCAGACAGACGGACGGACGAATCGCAAGATCGATTCCAAATGTACTGAAACGGGCCTAGAGTCTAAAACCGTTATTTCGATAAGACACGTTTTAGCCGTATTGAATGATATATAGGGTTGCCCATATTCGACGGACCTTTGGGCCCTTTGGGCCCATTCCAATCGACAAGGCTTGTCCGCTGGCAACATTCTTTGCGTCAATTGAATTTTGTACGGGAACAAATGCAAATCAATGCGAATAATCCATTGTAAAATGGACCGAGCCATGCCCAACTGCTGAGAACGGCGTTTTTGGTATGTTCTTGGGGATCTCTCAACACTGGCTCGTACGGCAGCGATATTCTCGGCCGATCGCCTTGGTCGACTTTTATATGGCCTCTTCGGATTAGAAAGAGCCTTACCAGTCGAAATTTTTTCGTATAAACGTTTAATGGTGTTCTTAGAAGGCGCACTTCTCACATTTTTTTCCCCAATTGACTTCTTCTGTTGAATGTAAATTTCAACTATTTCAGAGCGCTCGCGTGGCGTGTATTGGTTCATGGTAAAAATCTGCTTGGACTGACGCTTCAAACGCGGTATGTCATTAAGCGATGTGACATCTCTGTCAAAAGTTATGGCGTTGCCAGATGGGTCCGTCGAATATGGGCCATGTATACCCTCTATTGCCATAAAAGATCAAGTTCGGAGATGGGCAATATCGGTCCACTCCTTCTGGCACCTCCCCCACAAATAGTTGAAATTTAAAAAAAAAAATTTCTGCACAGAAAGAGAACGGATGATCCGATTTTGCTCCAACTTTGCAAATCCTATTTTTTGCATCAGTGCTAGGTCCGGTGAGAAAATGAAAAATATCGGTTCACTCCAACAAGTACCTCCTCCACAAAGGGCCAACATTTTAAATAATTATAACTCTTTTAAAGTTTGATTTAAGTGTCCAATTCTCTATAAAAAACACACACACATCACAATATTTTTATTAACCCAAGGTCTGAGGTGATGATGGAATATAAGGTACTTTCCCCACAGAGGGTCAACATAAAAACACAAAATTAACATCCGATTCCATTCAGACTTGGCGCATCTAAATATTTCCATGAACACAATATCTGTTGTAAAGATGTTAAAGATCGGACCATTCTACCATATGGTAGAGATCGAACAAAACCTTTTGGTACCTCCCGCACAACGATTCAGTGTTTTAAATAATGGTAACCCTCATAAAAAGCGAAATAAGCATCCGACTTTCTTAAAATTTCACACATCCCAATATTTCTATTAACACAAGATCTGGTGTGAGGATGATAGATGTCGGTTTAACCCCTTGTGGTACCTCTTCTACAAACAATCACAATTTTAAGAACTTAAATGTCTCATAAATTGCAAAATAAGTCAGCGATTCCATTCAAGCCTTCTATATCTTAATATTTCCCTCAACAAGGGATCTGATGTGAATCTGTTGTTCTGCCCACTTCCTCTGATACCTCCTCTCCCACAAAAAGATAAAATTTTGATTTACAATTATTTGCATACAATTTTAAATAAATTATCGATTTTATTTCCATGTTGCAGGTCCTAAAATTTGTATTAGTTGAAGTGGGCTACTTTGATCCATTCTATCTAGCACCTCACTCATTCTCTAAAAATGATCACTTAGCTCATATATCCAGCGATCTAGTCCAAATATGGCAAGTTGTAATATTTATATTAGACATATATAAGAGAGGGGTTAGACAATATCGGCCAACTCCTGCGGAACATACCTCTACATTAATGATCAACATGAAGAATAATAAATAGGGATGTCAAAATATGTTTACAAAAACGGCCAACAGCTGAGGGTATACATGCGTCGGCAAATACTTTTTAACTTGCTATACCCTCCACCATTCTATGGAGGATATATTAAGTTTGCCATTCCGTTGGTAACAGCTCGAAATATGCATTTTAGACCCCACAAAGGATATATATTCTTGATCAGCATAAAATTCTATGACGATTCTATAGCGATGTCCGTCCGTCTATCCGCCTGTGGTAATCACTCAAGCTTCCGAACGAAATGAAGTAGGTTGATAACATTTTACTCAAATGTATATTATATCTGCAGGACTTTTGGTATTGATAATGGGCCATGTAGGTCCACGGTTTGGTATGGCCCCCATATAACGGTACCTCCCGATATTCGGTATTTTGATGATTTTAGCGACATTATTCACCGGAATTCTTTCAAATTCGGCATTTGAAGTTCGTAATGGATACTACAGCCTGAGACAGAAAACTGTTTGTGCAGGTCCATGTCTTCTTATTGCGCCCATATAACGGTACCTTCCTATGTTCCGCATTTTTATGATTTTAGCGACATTATTCACCGGAATTGTTTCAAATTTAATATTTGAAGTTCCTAATATATACTACAGCCTATGACGGAAGATTGTCTGTGCAGATCCACGTCTTTTGATAGCCCCACATAACTGCAAAAATCGGTATTTTTTAGGGGTTTTAGTGACATTATTCAAATTTAATATATGAAGTTCGTAATAGATACTATTGCCTAAGACAGAAAAATGTCTTTGCAGATCCACGTCTTCATATAACCACCATATATCGGTACCCCCCCGATATTCGGTATTTTGATGATTTTAGCGACATTATTCAACGGAATTGTTTCAAATTTGGAATTTCTTGTTCGTAATTGATACTGCAGCCTATGACAGAAAATTGTTTTTACAGATCCAAGTCTTCGTATAGCCCCCATATTACGGTACCTCCCGATATTCGGTATTTTGATGATTTTAGCGACATTATTCACCGGAATTTCTTTAAATTTGGCATTTGAAGGTGGTAATGGATACTACTGCCTATGA